AGAGGAGACAGACACACACACCAACCTTAGCCTGACCCGTTTGTTTTGTTGATTTGTTTTAAATTTTTGCATCTTTACTTTTTTTAAACACCTAATTTGCTAACAAAAAACCGAAAATCATTTAATAAAAAAAATACAGCACTACTCAAGAACCATGCCCCTCATGATAAAAACTGCAAAAAAAAAATTCATGTTTTTTTATATTATTATTATTTTTTTGTTTAAATCGAATTTCGTTTTTTATTTTTTTTAAATCTCAAACCGAGTCGTATTCCAAACTAAAAACCATAGGATCGTAGGGTTTTCCAAACCCTACACCCCTATATTTTTTTAGTTTTGTTTAACGTATTCTTAGGGGTAAAAAAAATATATTAAAAAAACAGGCCGCGAACTTGGCCTCATAGACCGCGACCGACTTTTTCGGCCACAACGGCCGAAATGCCCACGGCCTAGGCTGCGGGTGTCACATAGGCCTTGGGGAAATGAGACGGGTCGGATGGGTGAGTTGCTTTGTGTCCCCTTAGGCCTCGACCATCTCCAACTTGGCCGAGAACGAGGAGGCCGGCCGCGAGCCCGTGGTCTAGGCTACGCGCCCGAGTTTGCGGCCACGCCACAGCCACGTGGCGGTGAGCGCGGGAGAACAACGCGCGTGCACGGCCTGCGCACGTCGGCCGCTGTCGCCCTTAAATCATTGATTGATTGTTTTTTTATTGATTGATTGATTGATTGATTGATTGATTGATTGATTGATTGATGGGTTGATTGATTGATTGATTGATGGATTGATTGATTGATTGATTAATTGATTGATTGATTGAATGAATGATTAATTGATTGATTGATTGATTGATTGGTGGGGGAGGGATCCTCCCTTCCCTCCCCGGCACACACATACACACACACACACACACACACACACACACACACACACACACACACACACGCACACACACACATGCGCGCAAACACACATCACACACACACACACACACACACACACACACATACACACACACACACACACACACTATCAATCAATCAATCAATCAATTAATCAATCAATCAATCAATCAATTAATCAAAGCAAATCAATCAATCAATTGATCAATCAATCAATCAATCAATCAATCAATCAATCAATCAATCAATCAAACCCTTTTTTTGTTTATTTGTTTTCAATTTTTGCATCTTCACTTTTTAAAACAGCGAATTTACCGGCAAAAAAAAATAAATCATTTCTAAAAAAAATACATTACCACTCAGGGACCATATCCCTCATGGTAAAAAATGACGAAAAAACATTCCTTTTTTATTTATTTTCTTTTATCGAATTTTTATTTTTTATTTTTTTTAAATTCTAAACGAAGTTCGATTCCAAAATAAAAAACATAGGATTGTAGGGGTTACCAAGACCTACATCCCTGTATTTTTTATTTTGTTTTTAACGTATTTTTAGGGGTATAAAAATTTTATTAAAATAACAGGCCGCGGACTTGGGCTCATGGGACGAGGCCGCAGCGGCCGAAATGCCAAAAAGGTGAACCGTGGAGAAAATGGGTTAGTCAGGCCAAGTTGCATGGATACCCTCATTCTTTTTATTTTATATGAGAATTTGTCGGGTTGGTGTCGGGAAAGTCTCGCGAGCGTGATGGACAATGGTTGTCATGGCTTCATTCTTGTTCTGCTGCGAGCACTAGGAATTTTTGGCGATATCGTTTTTGAATTTTGAACTGATGTCAATCCCCCAGGGGCTCGCAGAATTGTTTTTGGACTCCTCGGAATTTCCTTTTCTGCGACTAGGATTTAGGCAAGGAATTTAGGTACTTTGAATTTTGTTGCGCCACGCTTCTCACTCGCGCACACTTTGCTGCGCTAGGAACAGGGCTCTGACTGGATCGCACCCTTAATCAAGTGTAACTATCGTTTTTGGCGGGCGTGATTATAACTGTATCTTTCTTCTTTCTTTATTTCAACATGTTTACCCGTTTTTTTCTCATTTTCTGTCTTGCATGCTTAATACTCTGTTCTCATTAGATTAATCGTTGCACGACTGGATCGATGCGTGGAGAGTGGCTACGTTCCCCACATCGCGGTCTGGCCATGCAGACGTAGGCACTTCCTCTCTTCTCCTTCTGACCACTTGGACTTAATCCCGTATCTATTGCACAAGCGTGCATGATATAAATTTCGCAAGCGCGATGAGTTTGCTCTCTATGAGATTTGGAGTTAGCGCGATCAATGAGGGTCGGCTAACGAGTCAGCTAGAAGAGGTGAGTCGACGAGAGAGTTGGGCGATCCGACGACCTGGTGTCGGGTGTGCAGGGTTGAGGTGCGGACCTCGATGGACTTTGGCGCACGGGCGAACCTGGCTTGCATGCTCGAACCAGCTATGTGTGGGATGAGGTCTCTTCTACCAATCATCTATATAATTTTGATCTCAATTTTGGTCGATCTTGTTATGACACTTTCGAGCTTTTTCTTGTAAATCGTTTCGAGTTTTCTCTATCGTTTTGCCTCGTGTGTATGCATGGAATGGACGTGAACCCTCTTCGAGCGATCTTTTCGGATTTTTAATCCTGTTCTACAATGCATGTTTAGTTCAAATTTTATCGCTTGCCAGTATCCATCTGTGTCGTGCAATAATCCCGTGTGTGATTGAAAGCACTTGCTATAGACGTTTGGGTTTAATTGTTAGCTTTGATCGTTAATTTTATGAGGTGTTGGCCCTTGATGCCAGGGCAATTGCCCTTCTCCCTTCTCTCCGTCGCATGAATGGCATGGATATGAATGCAACGACTGCATCCCACCTGAAATAGTATAGGTAGGATAGTTGCACACAAGTAGGACACAACCAATACACCGATGCGAGGAACCTGCGCCTGATCAGCTTCCGCTCATATGCGTGCTCGCATACGACCGTGATCTCGAGGAAACCGAGTCGCAGCGTACGCGTGCGTCTGCATGAGTTGATCTCGATCTCGACTCATTATGAGGATGCGAGAAACCGAGTTCACTAATCGGATATGGTTGTTAAACCCCCCTCTTGGATCACTGATCGTAAGAGTTTGAGGGATTCGGAGTATCGTGAATACTGGGAGGGTGAACAACTCAGACGGTGGGGAAACATGAGAAACCCAGAATTCCCCTGTCTGAGGGAGAACGACCAACTGTGAGCGGGGGACTTTCACTGGGCCATAACCAACAATCCCCGGGCCCCGGACTACCCGAATACTAACAACACTCAGTATTACGTATCCCCGGGTTTCGTGGTTATTACTACCAGCTTTCCTCCCTTCCATCTCCTCCTCCCCTACCATCAGCTCACAGTGGTACCGTGGAATTCCATAGCTCGCGTTTGGCCCCACACATCGTGCGAAGAGTGCCGGCAGCACCAGGCGTATCGGACCTCGGGATTTATCCGACGAACCCGAGCCGAGGCCGAGCGGCGCCGACAGCTGTTCGAACAGCGCGACAGCCATAGCGACCCACCGGTCCACCAGAGACGGGACCGACCGCGACGACGACACTCATACCGGAGGTAGCCCGGTCTCCCGACGTCCAATATAACTCGGGACCACCATCTTGCTCAACTACCCCTAAGCTTGCCACCGGAGATCTCAGTTCTGACCTGGGACTCCAACCCCACTTTCCTAAAATCCTTGGCACACCCCTCTTCGCACTTCCGGGCCCCTTAAACACTCCGAAACAGGAAGTTGTGCTGGGCGTGAGGTTGGGCGTCACAGTGTTGCATTTTCTGAAAAGTAACAGAAAAGGCCTGAATGTGGACGTCTGTGTGGAGAGATGTGCATCATCACACGACTTTTCCGCATCACTTTGCCAACACAGCGGCGCACCCAATCAAGAACTGGATTTGATGCCCGAGTCGACGCTGGGGAAGTGGAGCACAAATAACAAACAATGCCTGAATGCGGACGTCGTTGTGGAGAGATGCAGAACATCACACAACTTTTCTGCTTCACTTCGCAAAACACAGCCAGAATTAGACCCATCCAATCAAGGATTGGATTTGGCACCGGAATATGGACGTGGACGTTGGGGAAGTGCAGCACAGAACTTTATGATTGATCTGTTTTTCTGCACCCCTCAAGGAGAGGCAGTTTTAGGTGGGAGCCTTCATTCTGTGTGTTGGGGTCTCTTCATATGGTTAAGATACTGTGGTTGAGGGTGCTGGAATGACTGCAGGGGTGCAGCTCGGCCTCATGAGCAGGTCCGCGGGCAGGTGACCGCTGATGCCTCGTCTAGTGTCCAAACTATGTACTGCCTTGGGCACTTGGGCCCTTTCTTTGAATGAATTTGTTCTTTTTTTTTTTTTTGGAATTTTCTGTGAGATTGCCTGCGGACTTGTCGTGCCACTGGGGCCTGGCGTTGGAGGTTTCCTGCAGGCCCCTGTCAGCTTGGGGTGCAACTTTCCCGCATGCCACTGTGGCTGTTGGTGGCACTGGCGGCCGTTTCCCTGGCCCTGCAAGGGGAACTACAGGGGCAGACCGGAAGTTTTGAACGGGAACCAGTAGGGGCATACTAATTTTATTTTTGGGCCCAAACGACGCTAGGATTTTTCTGGAAACTTCAAGTAGAGGCGCGAGAGGGTAAGTCGGTAAGGTGGGCGTCAAATAAATGGAAGTCGGAGGGGCATTTCAAATATTTGCACCTATTTTTTCCCCCCCTAGGAAAAACACGTCCAGGTTTTTTTTCGGGCATCCAACCCTCTTTGCTCGTTGGACCTGAGAGCCATTCATCACAAATCACAAAGATAAATTGAAACCGCTCACTGACTTTGGGTAGGCGCTTTCAGCAATACGGGCATTGGCTTGTGAACGGCACAGACGGACAAGACTTTGTGAGCAATAGCTTGTTTTGACCAGCGGAAGAGCTTATGTGACGGCATGGTACATGTCATTGAGTGTGACTGGTTGGAGTAGCGTGGCGACTGGTTGGAATAGGGTGGGCATCGGTTCTACTCGGTAGTGCGACACGTTCAGCCGTATCTGTACTCTGTCGTCCTTCCTTCCCGTTCGGTTCTTTGCTTCGTGTCTTGATTTCTCTGGAGACGCCTGTTCCATCGACGAAGACTTGATACTCCTCGCGCCGCTCGTAGTGTCGAAAACTGATCCCTCCTTGGCGACGATAATCTCGTTCCTTACGCCACGTTGCCGACAGTTTGTTCTTCCACACAAACATACACACACACACACACACACACACAGAGAGAGAGAGAGAGGGATGGCCTCAGAGAAGGCACGTGCTGGAGCAGAACAGATGAAGGAGGCCGGGCGAGAAGGATATGAGGAAGGGAAGGGGTCTGCTCAGGAGAAGTACGAGCACGCAAAGGGGACTGTCGGCGCCAAGACGGAGGAAGCCAAAAAGGCTATAGAGGAACAGAGGCAGCGAGCAGCGGAATCGATGCAGGAGCAGCAGGAGAAAGCAGCGGGCGCCATGCAAAGCCTGAAGGAGAAGGCAGGCGCAGCTATGGAGGGTCTGAAGGAGAAGGTCGGGATGGGAGGAGGAGGGGCAGGAGCAGGCAAGGGAGGGCAGTGAGGAAGGAAGCGGAAGCGTTGACTTCTGCGCGCCACGGGTCAACGAGATGGGTGAAGGAGATCTTCAGCGCCGGTATGGAGTCTCAGGTGTGCAATGAATTTGGTCGTAATGGAGGTCACATGCAGATAACCATATCTCTTATAACCGTGGCGTAGGGGGCTCAGTTATTCTGTTTGAATCTGGCCAGGAAACGAGTTTCGTGTTTGAATCTTACCTGGAAATGAGCCGCAATACATTGGCAGTTTTTGGCGGAATCGAGTTTTAGCGACGCCATTCTAATCTGGTCAGAGTTGCGCAGCCGAGCTCGCAGGGTTCTGAAATGCCATGGATAACTGCTTCACAATTTACACGCATCACAACTGCGTTCTGGACCAGATGCATTCGCACCGTCGAAACATTTGTCAGGTATCGGGGTCGTCACGAGGTCCAGATATTTTTAGAACGTCGTGTAGTGGAGCGAGGCCCAGTATGTGGTAGGTGCAGTATTTGATACTTGATTGATGTGTGTAGCCTTGGGCGCTAGGACCGTTGTCAAGATACGGGCCCAGATACCTCCAGAACGTGTTGTAGTGGAGCGGCGAGGCCCAGTGTGTGGTAGGATTTGATATTTGCTTGATGTGTAGCCTTGGGCGCTGGGCCCGTTTATAATTCCGAGGCTGTATTAAAAGTTAAAACAGGGAAAGAATTCAAATAAATAAATAAATAATTGGTTTGATACTTGCTTGATGTGTAGCCTTGGGCGCTGGCACCGTTAATGATTCCGAGGCTGTATTAAAACAGGGAAATAATTCAAATAAATAAATAATTGGTTTTTCTCTGCCGTCGAGAGAAATGTGATGTGTGGATAAGCAATCAGTCCCAGTGAAGTGAAGTCATAAAAAAAAATTAGAGTTGTGCTACAAGCCTGTGAATGGCCAATTCACTCAGTTTGCAATCGCTTTTTCATTTTTCTGTTGCTGTTGGGAGGGTGTTTTCACACAGTTTAATGAGTGTAATAGCTGAGCTTATATTTTCTGTGTTTGTTTGTCTATTTTTTTGGCTTCTGAAGGCTCTGATCAATGTTTTGTATGCTAGCGCAGTGGTCACGTGCCAGATGTGACACGTGGGAAATGACCCGTGCCGGATGAGACACGTGGCGGATGACACGTGAAAGATGTGGCACGTGGCATCCCCGCTCTGTGGCCCACGTCTGTTTGGCTTTTGCTATTTTTATCCGTGCAGCATCGCTTGGTGGAGAACTAATACTTGTGGTACCTGTCTCTCGTTACACCTTGTCCAAACTCTTGCTCCAGAGCCACCTGTGCGCCATATCCGGTATCAGATTTGTGTCCCACCGCTTTCAGCTTGATCCCCTCTGTGGTACCAGATCCACGTGGTACCACAGAGGGGACCAGGCTGGCAGCGGTGGGACACCTGGAACGCCGTGGCTCCGTACCACGTGTCCGCCGTGGCTCCGTACCACGTGTCCGTTTTTCTCTGCCTTTACCCATAACCAGATGCACAAGGTTCTTCTCCCATCTCTTTCACCTTGATCTTCGCTGTGGTACGAGATCCACGTGTCCTCATTCTTTCGCCTTTCGCCCTAATCAGATCCACGTGGTGCGCCCCTTTCGCTCGCCTCCGGAACTCTGTGCTACTTCTTTTCTTGTGTTTTATATTTTATTCGTCGTTCATTCCCACGAGTTCACTTGCTTTGTCCTCAGTTACTTTTTTTTTATATTATACTTGTTATTAGCACAACAAAGGTGAAATGAGGCTGGGAATCCGCCACAAACCAATCTGGAATCTCGTAACGGAAGGCCGGGGTCCTCTACTGACTGGGACTTTTACCCAGCTTAGGTGTAGGCATTAGAAAGACGCAATTACATTTGGGATAGCAGAACGTCGTGTTTCCTTCTCCGTTTCGTGTTTATTTGTGGTATCCACGTGATACGGGAGCTACGTGAGGGTGGAACGACGTCCACGTGGTAGTGGAGCCGGGTGGTACCACACGAACGTGGTACCGGAGGTTAGTGCCACTGGATCCATGCGAATCCACGGGGAGGTACTGGATTCACCTGGTACCGGAGCCACGTGGTATACGCTAGTGCCGGAGCCACGTGGTACCACGTGGGCTTGCAGACATGGTACCACACCCACGTGGGTGCAACGTGGTTGATGAACCACATCCACGTGGTAGCGGAGCCAGGTGGTAGAGCATCAACGTCGTACCAGAGGCACGTCTTACGGCATTCACACGGATGCACGCGGTACTGGATGCACCTGGCACCTGATCCACGTGGTACCCGCTGGGGCTCGAGCCACGTGGTACCGCACCCACTTGCGCTCTGGATTCTCTGTTTTTTGTTTTCTTTTCTTTGTTTGTTCTCTAGTTCAGGGTATATCACCTTTTCCGTCTTCTCCACCTATATCTCTCACTCCGATCTTGGCTGGACCTCACCCAGTGCTTTGCCGTCTCTATCCGTCTCGTGGCGTAAACCATTGTTAACCTGCGTAAGACGCCAACCATCTTTATCCGAATAGAGCGCTCGGGCACTGTAGCTGTATCTAGACTGGAAGCTGCGCCAAACGCGGCTACAATGACCGGATGTTCTATTGGGGTGACGATGGCGGTCCGTTCTTTCTGCTCTCCATCTACTGGAGCCCCCGCTCTCCCCACGTGTTTTTTTTTCCTCAGCTACTTAGCCCCGCCCCTCCCACGTGACTTATCAGGGTGGCTCGTGGTATAAGCTCTCCCATAACCTGAGTATGTCCTTCTAGTTACTAATGAACTGTTGCGTAGGTCCTTTCTGCTCTCCGTCTACTCTAACACCTCTGTGATTAACCTGCCTCGTGTTGATTTTCCGTTTTTCTCAATTTCGTCTTTGACTTGTGAGTCGTTACGCCTCAACCATACCACTTATGACTGATGTGCCCTATCAGGGTGTCTCGTGGTATAAACTCTCGCTCAACCTGAGTATGTCCTTAATGCTCTTAATGAACTGTTTCGACGGTCCTTTCTGCTCTCCGTCTACCTAACCCCCGCTTTGTTTACGTGTCTTATCAGGGGTTGAACACATCTATCACAGGCCACCTAAACCACTTGGCCCCTCACGTCTGTGATTGACCTGCCTCGTGTCGTATTTGACTCGTGACACCTCGACCTTTTTTTTTTGGTTTTTTTCTTTTTTCGTAACGCAGGTCGTTGTAGAGGCTGGATTTCAGACAAATGAGAGTCACCTTTGGCACTCGGCCATGTGGTAGAGGCCACCTAATCCTATGGGACAGTCTCCGAACCTACCTCTCTCGTAATTTATCTTAGGCGCACTCCGACTCCCACTATCCTACCTTAGTGTCTACCACTCAGGATAGTCACCCTCCAGTCTGGGGATGACATGACTGAACCGTGGCTGAAGGTACCAGGGCTAAGCTGAGTCCCACACACCCCACTCAGCCCTGATCGAAGCATATTTGAGTGAGCCTTGTTGCCCAGGTACTTCAGGTGCTAGGTACAGACGTTTCACTACAAGTCCCATAGGTGGACCTACCTATTTTGCGTGCCTTACGTTGTGTACACAGCTGAAGTTGTACTGTCGTTTCTTGTTGTTAGGTTGTGCACTGTGCACACTGTTGTTGTCATTAGTACTTGTTTCTCGATAGTGAACCGAACATAGGAGGCAGGCAACCCAACCAATCCTGTAGAGAGCTCCACCGACAGGAGAGCCCTACCAGCATCGTCGCCCATAGACTGTACTGAGTCTCACTCTCATCAACTGTTCCTTGTTCCAAGGGCGGTCTGTAGGGTTTTACTTCAGCCAGACGGACCGTAGATTGTACTGAGTCTCACTCTCATCAACCGTCCCTGTTCCACGGGCGAGCTGTCCTAAGGGGAGCCGTCATCCTAACCCCTCCTGCCCATAGTGGCTGACCCCCCAGATCTCCAGCTAGCAATGG